TGCAGCGAAGCAGAACAGGGGTTGAAGCAGGTTGCAGGGAACACAGGTTGCAGCGAAGCAGAACAGGGGTTGAAGCAGGTTGCAGGGAACACAGGTTGCAGCGAAGCAGAACAGGGGTTGAAGCAGGTTGCAGGGAACACAGGTTGCAGCGAAGCAGAACAGGGGTTGAAGCAGGTTGCAGGGAACACAGGTTGCAGCGAAGCAGAGCGTGAGGCGCCGGTGGCAGTTCTGTGGCAGCTCTGTTCTCTCTTGTGAGTTTCGAGAGACGTCTCGAAACTCACTCTCAAAACTCTCCATCCTCTCTGCAGTTTGCTTTGTGTTCTCTCTCCCTCCCCAGCAGGGTCACATATTAATTTCCACCTGTCTATCCTTTTGTGTTCTCTCTCCCCCCCCAACAGGGTCACATATTAATTTCCACCTGCCTATCCTTTTGTGTTCTGTCTACCCCTCCAACAGGGTCACATAATAATTTCCACCTGCCCCTGGGCAGTATCCAGTGTCCTTTTGTGTTTTGTCTCCCCCCCCAACAGGGTCACATAATTATTCTCATCTGCCCCTGGGCAGTATCCTGTATCCGTTTGTGTTCTGTTTCCCCCCCCCAACAGAGTCACATTTTAATTTTCACCTGCCTCTGGGCAGTATCCAGTTTCCTTTTGTGTTCTGTCCCCCCCTCCAACAGGGTCACTTACTAATTTTACCTGCCCCTGGGCAGTATCCATTTTCCTTTTGTGTTCTGTCTCCCCCCCCCAGGTCCCAAGCGATGGTTCCCACCTCACCGTGGTGCTTGGGTGAACGTTGGGAGCTTGCTCTTGGCGGCCAAGAGGAACCCTCCATGCACACCTACAGTGCATGGATAGTAACTAGGAACTTAGAAGGATATTTACCAGCAAACTATTGCTTCAATAGGTGTTGATTTAGTTCAGGCATATGTAGACAAGCATGTTATTTATTTTGTCAATTGATGCACCAGATGTACATTTCCAGGTGTGACAGACAGGACCATACAGAGAACCAGAGACAGAACCATACATACAGAACCAGAGACACAAGGTACGCAAGACAAACAGAGCCACATGGACAGCTACCGTAATTACTGGAAGAGTAGTAAATATGGAACTTTTGGTTTGTTTAATTCAAACCAAAGAGTGATTCTGAGACCTCTCACTGGATCATTGCCCTGAAATTGATATTACCGTAATGAATTTGAACTCTCCTGTCTCAAACGCGCCATTGTCGCTACGAGACTTCCTGGGACAGCTTTAGTAGATTTGACCATCACGCTGCGGCCGTTTCAATGTTAGTGGATTGGAACGTTCGTAGCTCCAGTTAGGAGCATCGTTTCCTCGAAACGCGCCGCGTAGTCACTTATATCGGCGCGGTCATGAGTTCAGTCACTAATGTACTAGCAGCGAAATCGCTCCGATTTGGAAGGTTTATTAGGCTGTCCGTAAACGCCTCGCCATGCCTTGTCGGTGCTCATCTCCTCTCCGCGCAGATTCGCATAAGGTGGTTTTTTCGCGATTGTACAGCTTCGCGCCGTAGTCGCCGCTCCAATAATGGCACGCGCTATCCTCGTTACAAGGATACGCGATGACGGAAGGGAAGTCGGTGCGGACTCGTTACGAGAGCGCGATGCGGAAGCGGCTTACGCGGCGATGGCAGCGAGAAAGCAGCTTACTTGGCGCTGGTGGTCGTCGGACGATCCCGTCTGACTTGACGCTGCCAGAGAACGAAGTCGTAAGATTCGGAACATCAACGCGCGACGCGCGATTCTTACTGCTTTTAGAAGCGCATGATCAGATCTCGCTAGTTTACAAATTTGCTGTATATTTTCCACTGGCACGCAGAATGCTAATCATCAGAAGCACGTGGTTTTGGGTACCATGTGATCTCTTTTCCACGTGAGAAACACCACGCCTTCAGTACCTCCCCCTTTCCCCTCTCTTCCTCCCTTCTCCTCCTCCCCCCCACCTCTCCCCTCCTCACCTCCCCTTCCTTTCCCCCCCCTTCATCATGCGCAGAATTCAACAGCACATGACTCTACCTGCCGCTACCTCACACGCCGCGCCAGCGTCATGCAGCTCTCACTGCCGCTCAGCTGGCAGTAGTGCCGGCAGGCTCACTGGTGCGTGCATGCTGTGCTTCCTCTGGTTGGTAGTGTGCCTCTGTTGGCGTGTGGCTTGCACTGCCGTGTCAGCTTCATGCACTGCCGTGTCAGCTTCATGCACTGCCGTGTCAGCTTCATGCACTGCCGTGTCAGCTTCATGCACTGCCGTGTCAGCTTCATGCACTGCCGTGTCAGCTTCATGCACTGCCGTGTCAGCTTCATGCACTGCCGTGTCAGCTTCATGCACTGCCGTGTCAGCTTCATGCACTGCTGTGCATGATGTCCTTCCTCTGGCCGGTATTGTGACTCTGTTTTAGGTTTGGCATGCACTAGAGATGTGGGATCCCTGTGGTTGTGGGATCCCTAGAGATGTGATTATGTACCTGTGGTGTTCCGCTCACGTACGCATCAATGCCAGCAGCATTTCTGATTTTGTTGGGTTTGGACCATACATGTGCAGGCGCTTCAATCCCCTCGTTTTCCTCTTCCATTCCCCCGGCCTCCCCTGTCTTTTCAGCTTCGTTCGCCAGCCCCTCCCTCTCTCCCTCCCCCAGCCACTCCCTCTCTTTCCATCCCCCGACCCCAAAATCCTCCTTCTCTCCTGCAATGAAACTCCTTTATCCCCCACTCCGCCCCACTTCCCCTCGTGTGCATGCAGTTCACAACAGGGTTTGAAGAGATGGAGATGGAGGTGGAAGGGGAGGTATCGTGTTGGGCAAGCCAGTGTTGGGAGTGCAGGGGAGTGTACGAGTAGTGCTGCCAGACCTATATACAGATACACACATGGTGGTGCATGGAGTGAGTGGAGTCATGGTGCCTGACATTTTACTAGACCTCCAATACTGGGGGACTTCGAGGAATATAAAAGCGAAATATAAGATTCGAGAAAAGAACCCCCCAAACTAGCTACGCTCAAGCTAGTGCATGTTTTCACGAGAAGAGAATTATCACAAATGTTGAGATTAAATGACAGAGTATTGGCAAATTTGTGACAGGTAACTGGAAAGGATAGTAGTAAGTATTTACTAGCGATTTAAGTTTACCTCTATAACCAGCCATATTGTTTTTACAGTAAATTCAAGACGCGGATGAAAGCTGTAACTTGCATGAATGATGATGGACTTGACAAGCGACTCAATTTGAATTCGTCGTCTGACACCACCAGTTCAACTCATTATTCACCAGATCGTCGGCAGGCTCATGCGCGGATTCCTGCCAGTCAGACGCAACTCACAAGCGAACTTTGCAACTGCTTGCGCTTCGAGCTTGCCGAAACGGGGGGGACTTCCCCCCACCCCCTTTTCACCTTGGGCGGACGGGAGGTTCACTTCGCGAGGCGACTCGACTTGCCGTTCAGCTTTATCCCTCTCACCTTTCTCTTACCATCACCCCACCTCACCTTGCCTCACCTCATCTCACCTTTCTGTAATGAGTCTCATCTCTCTTTAACCTCGGTCACCTTGGAAAAACTCTCTTCACCGTACTGGACCTTGCTTTTCCTTCCCGTCCCAGATCTCGTTGCTCAGCCCACATCCACTACCTCTCAGACACTCTCCAGGCAGAGGTTGTCTCGTGGCATGTTCTGTGAGTTAGGTAACTCGATTGACGGGAATCCATGGCTTCCTGGATTAGCTGTACTGTGGAGGAAATTTCGTGCGTGGACTCTACCGATGCGCGTACATCCTAAGGTTAACCATTAGGATAGTAGTATAAGTTCTGGAGCCTAGTAAGATAGCTTAGTCTCACAATGAGTTGCAACTGGATGACCGTCAGGTGCAGAATGGCAAATTCCTATTATTGTCGCGTCAAGCGTGATTCTATTTGCTCGTTACGCCAGATCAAAGTTCTAAAGAGATTCTCATCTCCGTATTACAACAGATTATTCGAACCTTCTTCGCGATCTCTCGAGTCGCGAGATCCAAGTTCTTCTGATATTCTCACGCTAGCGAATCGCAACGAAAGCTGTTAACTTTGTGAAGCCGCGACAAACTTTAACAACGTGAACCGACGTCAGATATTGTGCGGAGACTAGACGCGGCATGACGCGACAAACGTTCCTGATGGTCACGAATCCTTGCCATGACGCCTTGTGCGACTTTACAGCTTGCTCTACGGGAGAGCTTCCCGCAGCCTCACGATTAAGTTGTCACTGCCGAGAAGACCGCTTCGCTTCGCTTCGAGATTCCTGAAACCGCTTCGCTTCGCTTCGAGATTCCTGAAACCGCTTCGCGACGAAATACTCCTGAAACCGTCGACGGTATTACTCGCAGCCTGCTACGCGAAGCTAACGAATGCACCCGACGCTGACGAAGGAGCGCGGAGCGTTGCGGCGGAAGGATCTGACGGGCGACGCTGACGGAGACATGACGCCGACGAATACGTGACGCTGACGAAGACATTACGCTGACGAAGACATTACGCTGACGAAGACATGACGCGACGAAGGATCTCGGAGAACAAGTGACGGAATTGAAAGTGATCGCGTGACTTCGGAAGCAGCGCGAAGTGTCCGATGGGTGCGGTGGTGCGGAGCGTTCGATGACGGAGGAGCAGCTTGCGACGCGAGCTCGCGACGGCCGTACGAAGCTCGTGACATCTGTACGAAGCTCGCGACCTCCGTACGAAGCTCGCGACATCCGTACGAAGTCGCGAATGCCCCTGCTCACGACGTTCCTACGCAACATGTGACCCGCAACATGTCCCTGCTCACGACCCGCTACTACTACGGAGACGAGCTGTGGTGAGTTTTATTGAAACTCTCGTTTCATGACGGTTTTTTTTTGCTCGTATCATTCAATTTCTATAACAGTTGCTATTATTCTCTCGATCGTGTTTAGTTTCCATTCAAACTGCTCATTTCCGTTTCTGCAAATTTCGGTTTCTGCACATTCATTCACGATGGCGTATCTCGCTCGCTGCGCATTAAACTGTCCGTGCAGGAGTGGTGGCGATATGAGCTTGTCTCATGGCGTTGGTCCATGGCGTCATGGCAGTCCATGGCGTCATGGCAGTCCATGGCGTCATGGCAGTCCATGGCGTCATGGCAGTCCATGGCGTCATGGCAGTCCATGGCGTCATGGCAGTCCATGGCGTCATGGCAGTCCATGGCGTCATGGCAGTCCATGGCGTCATGGCAGTCCATGGCGTCATGGCAGTCCATGGCGTCATGGCAGTCCATGGCGTCATGGCAGTCCATGGCGTCATGGCAGTCCATGGCGTCATGGCAGTCCATGGCGTCATGGCAGTCCATGGCGTCATGGCGTTGGTCCATCAGCAGCAGCGACTGCAGCAGCAGCGACTGGAGCATCAGCAGCAACAGGAGCGGCCACGACCGGAGCAGCAAGTAAGTTGAGCCCTGACAGAACACCCCCGTTCCTTCCTCCTGATTCGCATCACCTCGTTTTTGAAGGTTGCCATTTCCTGTTGTCTTGGCCGTTTTGCTTAGCATGTTGTTTCTCTTGATCATTTCGCAGCTGTGCCTGTACGCTCTACCCAGCTGACCTTCTCTATAGTAGGGGTTGCAACTCTCTGTGCCTTGTGCAGGGGTGACAAGGGGTGGCTGGGGCAGCTGAGGCCGCGGATGGCGAGGTGGGATAGTGCTGCTGCGTTGGAGGCAACTGGTGCAGGAGCAACTGGAGAAACCTCAACTGGAGAAACAAGTAAGTAACCTCAACCTCAACTGCTCCTTTCTTTGTCTTTATGGCTTGCGTCTTCGTTGTCGTTTTTCCACTCTCGTTTTTTCTCCTTGCATTCTTTATTCTTCACTCTGTCAATTCATGCTCTACTCATAAACTCTACTTGTGGGATTGCAACTCTCTGGTCGCTGTGCAGGGAACGTAAACACATGGGTGGGAAGATGGAGCAACAGCGACAGGAGCAGCACCTGCACCTGCAGCGACTGGACAACAAGTAAGCAACAGGAGCCGTGGCGTTTGTTCGCTGACGACTTTGTGGCCTTCTTTGTGGGATTGCAACTTGCTTTCTCTGCATTCGTTGTTGTTCCCTCTCTGTCAAATCTCTCTGCCAACTTGTAACCTCTATGCTGCAACTAACCATCTCTGTGGGATTGCAACTCTCTGTTCGCTGTGCAGGGAACGTTGCGGCTGGGCAGATGGAGCAACATGGGCAGCGGTAGCAGCGACAGCAGGAGGAGAAAGGCAGTGGCAGAAGCAGCAGCAAATGCAACAGCTTCAGTCGCAGCAGCAATGGCAAAGGCAGGAGCGCCAGTGGCAGCGGCAGCGTTGCTATGCTGCTAATGGCAGCGGCAGCGTCCTCTTGAACAAGGGGCAACCTCCCATCTCCTCTACGCTTTCCTGGCGCTGCTGCTGGTTTATGGAGGAGTGAAAGCCTTAGTAGTTAGGAAGATGGGGCAGGAGCGACTGGATAGCACCTGCTGCGTTGTGGGCAGCTGGAGCAGCAGCGACTGGATAAGCTAGTAAGTAATTGGCGCCATGACAGAACACCCCCGTGTCCTTCTATTCCCCCCTCTCCCTTCTCTCTCCTCAGTCGAGTTCTTCTGCCTTAGTAGTTTCAATTGCTTTCGTGTTCTTCGTTGCTTTTCCGCTGTCCTTTTTCCTCCTTGCATTCGATATTCTTCACTCTGTCAATCTGCTCTGTCGACTCACTGACTGATCTTCCTTGTGCGATTGCGACTCTCTGGCACTGTGCAGGGCGTTAGTCTGGGGTGGGAGGAGCAGCAGCAACAGGAGCAGCATTGACAGCGGCAGCAGTGGCAGCAGGAGGAGAGCGGCAGTGGCGGAAGCAGTAGTGTGAGCGGCAGCGGCAGGGGCAGAAGAAGTGGCAACACGAGAAGAATGCCCTACACTTTCTGGCGCTGCTGCTGGGTGTTGGGAGGCCAATCAATGCCAGTCAACGCCAGTCAAAGTCAATCAACGCGAGTCAATCTTGTGAGCTGCAGCAGTGGAGCAGGGGAGCTGAGGAGTCGGCTGGAAGGGATCCCTAGAGGAAGGAGACGGCTGGAATGCCCTGAGCTGCAGCAGGGAAGGCACGGAGGGGACACGAAATGGACACCAGCAGTCTGCGAGCTGTTACTACCTCCTGCGTGCTGCTGCTGGTGCTGATGTGGAGTGATGGCACAACAACAAGCAGCTCTGATGCTGCGTTGGCCAGCAGAGACACCAGCGGTGGCAGCGGCAGTGGGAGCAGGAGAGAGGCTCGCAGTGACATTACCCGGTGGCAGCAGCAGTGGCGACAGAAGGGATGCAAGTAGTGACACCAGCGTTGGCAGCGGCAGTGGGAGCAGGAGAGAGGCCCGCAATGACAGTACAGCTGGCACTGGGAGCAGGAGAGAGGCCCGCATGACATTACCCGGTGGCAGTAGCAGTGGCGACAGAAGGGGATGCGAGTAGTGACACCAGCGGTGGCAACGACAGTGGGAGCAGGGGAGAGGCCCGCTATGACAGTACAGCTGGCAGCAGCAGTGGCTGGCAGCAGAAGAGAAGACCAGCAGTGACACATGCGGTGGCAGCAGCGGTGGGAGAAGGAGAGAGGTCCGCAATGACACTACAGCTGACAGCAGCAGTGGCTGGCAGCAGAAGAGAAGACCAGCAGTGACACATGCGGTGGCAGCAGCGGTGGGAGAAGGAGAGAGGCCCGCTATGACAGTACAGCTGGCAGCAGCAGTGGGTGGCACCAGAAGGGAAGACCAGCAGTGACACCAGCGGTGGCAGCAGCGGTGGGAGAAGGAGAGAGGTCCGCAATGACACTACAGCTGACAGCAGCAGTGGCTGGCAGCAGAAGAGAAGACAAGCAGTGACACATGCGGTGGCAGCAGCGGTGGGAGAAGGAGAGAGGTCCGCAATGACACTACAGCTGGCAGCAGCAGATGCTGGCAGCAGAAGAGAAGACAAGCAGTGACACATGCGGTGGCAGCAGCGGTGGGAGAAGGAGAGAGGTCCGCAATGACACTACAGCTGGCAGCAGCAGTGGCTGGCTGCAGAGGAGAAGACAAGCAGTGTGAGCAGATGCTAGCAGGGAAGGCTAGCAGTGGGAGCAGATGCTAGCAGGGAAGGCTAGCAGTGGGAGCAGATGCTAGCAGGGAAGGCTAGCAGTGGGAGCAGACGAGAAGAGAAGACCAGCAGTGGCAGCAGACGAGAAGAGAGGACCAGCAGTGGGGGGAGATGCTAGCAGGGAAGGCTAGCAGTGGGAGCAGATGCTAGCAGGGAAGGCTAGCAGTGGGAGCAGATGCTAGCAGGGATGACTAGCAGTGGGAGCAGACGAGAAGAGAAGAGCAGCAATGGGAGCAGACGAGAAGAGAGGACCAGCAGTGGGAGCAGACGAGAAGAGATTACCAGCAGTGGGAGCAGATGCTAGCAGGGAAGGCTAGCATTGGGAGCAGATGTAGCAGGGATGGCTAGCGGTGGGAGCAGATGCTAGCAGGGAAGGCTAGCAGTGGGAGCAGACGAGAAGAGAAGACCAGCAGTGGAAGCAGACAGGAAGAGAGGACCAGCAGTGGGGGGAGATGCTAGCAGGGAAGGCTAGCAGTGGGAGCAGATGCTAGCAGGGAAGGCTAGCAGTGGGAGCAGATGCTAGCAGGGAAGGCTAGCAGTGGGAGCAGATGCTAGCAGGGATGACTAGCAGTGGGAGCAGACGAGAAGAGAAGAGCAGCAATGGGAGCAGACGAGAAGAGAGGACCAGCAGTGGGAGCAGACGAGAAGAGATTACCAGCAGTGGGAGCAGATGCTAGCAGGGAAGGCTAGCATTGGGAGCAGATGTAGCAGGGATGGCTAGCGGTGGGAGCAGATGCTAGCAGGGAAGGCTAGCAGTGGGAGCAGACGAGAAGAGAAGACCAGCAGTGGAAGCAGACAGGAAGAGAGGACCAGCAGTGGGGGGAGATGCTAGCAGGGAAGGCTAGCAGTGGGAGCAGATGCTAGCAGGGAAGGCTAGCAGTGGGAGCAGATGCTAGCAGCGAAGGCTAGCAGTGGGAGCAGATGCTCGAAACTCTTCAAATGGTGAGTTTTGAGAGACGTCTCAAAACTCACGCCCCCTCGTTCCTGACTGCAGATTTGCTGCAGTGAGCAAAATGCGGGTTTTGAGAGCAAAACGCCTCAAAACTCACACTTGTTGTGGCTGAGGTTGTTGTTCTTGCTTTCTCCTGGTGGGCACTTCAAGTGAGGCGCTTTGACCCCCTGGGGGGCAAAGGATCAACACAAGAGGAGCAGCGAGAGGTGGAGCGGCGCCTTCAAGTGAGGCGCTTTGACCCCCTGGGGGGCAAAGGATCAACACACGAGGAGCAGCGAGAGGTGGAACGGCGCCTTCAAGTGAGGCGCTTTGACCCCCTGGGGGGCAAAGGATCAACACACGAGGAGCAGCGAGAGGTGGAGCGGCACCTTCAAGGAGAGGATAATTTTTGTGTTTTCCCTCTCCTAGGTGCAGCAAGAACCGGGGCAACACTTAGGGCGAAGCAACAGCTGGTGGGGCAGCAGCTGGAAGGAGCAAATTCAACTGAGGTGCCTACTTTGCCTTGCTGGGGGGCAAAGGATAACTTTTGTGCCCCCACTCTTTTAGGTACAGCAAGGACGGGGGGCAACACCACGGGCGGAGCAACACGGGGATGCAGCAGCTAGGACCCGCTGTAAGCTGCAGTCTGCGTTTTGTTTCTTGCTTTTTCTAACTCGTAATGTTGTATTTTGTGTGTCTTCGTGTCTTAGCCGTCACCAAGACATCAAGAGCGCTTCTGCCCCCTCGGTAAGCTATCTTCCATTTCTGCTTTTTTGTTTTCCACATGCACTAATGTCGTGGTTTGTTGCCTCCCTCCCCTTTCAGACAGCCCCAAGACTTCAACACGCCTTCATTCCCCTCGGTACGTGCTCGTCCATTTCTGCTTTCCTGTTTTCCACATGCACTAATGTCGTGGTTTGTTGCCTCCCTCCCCTTTCAGACAGCCCCAAGACTTCAACACGCCTTCATTCCCCTCGGTACGTGCTCGTCCATTTCTGCTTTCTTGTTTTCCACATGCACTAATGTCGTGGTTTGTTGCCTCCCTCCCCTTTCAGACAGCCCCAAGACTTCAACACGCCTTCATTCCCCTCGGTACGTGCTCGTCCATTTCTGCTTTCCTGTTTTCCACATGCACTAATGTCGTGGTTTGTTGCCTCCCTCCCCTTTCAGACAGCCCCAAGACTTCAACACGCCTTCATTCCCCTCGGTACGTGCTCGTCCATTTCTGCTTTCTTGTTTTCCACATGCACTAATGTCGTGGTTTTGTTGCCT